TGAATTCTAGAATCAGGAACATAGGTGAGTAACAAGGGCTTCGAAATTTTTGGATTTTACACATTGGATTCGAATTCCTATCGCTATAACGATAAATTGAGTTATATACAAATAAATTAATATATAATTACTAATCCCTATAACTTATATCGATACATTTACCAGAATTAGCAGTTAAATAAGTGTAACACTAACTTGTCATACCATTGATTGTTTTATATATTGCTTATCTAAATAGATAAGATATTCTCTTTTTTCATTTAAAAAATCGAAACAATTTTGTATTCTTTCGTTTTTCATAAATAATTATTTAAATAACTGAGTAAATAAGTGTTCACTCATAAATGGAATCATCAAAAGTTTCCACTGTTTCAACTGAATTATCACAAACAAATAATTCTCAAAAAATGATAACAAGCACTACAAAGTCTTCTATATCTGCACCAATAAGTAAGACTACTACCACTAAAGAAACAATTGGCGCCCTTCCTGGAATATTAATTGGTGGTGCTGCAGCATGTGCTGCAGTTACATTTACAAATCCGTGGGAGGTTGGCTTTTATCATTGATTGATCCTGAGAGGAAATTTTGTGTGTTTAATTTCTCCCTTCCTTACAGGTAGTGAAAACTCGGTTACAACTTCAAGGTGAATTAGCTCGAAGTAATTCCAATTATGTAAAACCTTATAAAAATGTATTTCAAGCAGTCTATTACATAATCAAGCATGAAGGAATTTTCAGCATTAACAAGGGTTTAGGTAAGAAATATATATCTGTTATAAATGGGAACGGAATTTCAAGTGAATTTAATTAAGTTACAATTTTTGGGTGGAATTTATTTTATACGAGTGCCACCAAGTGAAAACCTCAAATCGGAAATTTGTTATTTATTATTTGCTAGACTTAGCCGTGATCTAAACCGTATATTACACGTAATTAAATTTACTCATATATCATATATGTTTCTGATTAGGGTTGAATATAGCAAATAATAAATGGTCAACTTATATTCCCGGGTAAGGTTTTCCCTTGGCAGCACTTATATAAACTTACATTATAACCCTAAACTCCCAAGAAATTCTAAATACACTTAAATTCAGTTCCCACTTACAACATATCCATCGCCAACTATATGATTAACCAATTCTGTTCATTTTATAAAGGCCCAGCTTATGCATATCAAATTTTGATGAATGGATCACGTCTTGGTCTTTACGATCCAATTCGAAACTCTCTTGTTTCAACTTTTGGTACCTCAAGCACTTCGTTACCAATTAGCATTGTTTCTGGAGGTCTTTCTGGTGTTATTGGTGCTTTTATAGGCTCTCCTTTATATTTGGTCAAAACTCGTATGCAATCTTTTTCAACTCATATGGCAGTTGGGCATCAACATAATTACAAAAACACTTTTAGTGCTTTAACACAAATATGGAAGTCAGATGGTATAAAAGGGATATATACAGGTGTTAATGCGGCAATGATAAGAACTGGAGTTGGTTCTGCGACCCAATTATCAAGTTATTTTTATATAAAACGATGGATAATTACAAAGATTGGGATGGATGATAATGATATTGTATTGCATAGTCTTGCAAGTATGATAACGGGACTTTGTGTTTGCGCAACTATGAATCCATTTGATGTTATTAGCACACGTATGTATAACCAAAAAACGGATATTGGCGGAAAAGGAAGGTATGATTTCGTCTTGTTTTTTGATGTTTATTTTATTTTATTTTATTTTTTTGTTGAAATAACAAACTTATTTATTCTTCAATTTCAATTATAAAAGCCTGTATAAAAGTACTTTCGATTGCTTTATAAAGACAATTAAGACTGAAGGCATTCAAGGACTTTATAAAGGATTTATACCTCATTATTTTAGAATT